ACTTGCCCCTCACCACTCAACACTTGCCCCTCACCACTCAACACTTCCCACTCACCACTTCCCACTCAAGGCAGTGCAGCTTTCGCTCCCTCGCCGCCACATCTCTGGCGGACACTCAGACTACCAGCGGCGAGGTCCGCATGTAACTTTAAGGCGGCTCCGCACATGAGTCGTTCGGTGAATTCTCAGCAACCGCTCGCCGAATCCCAAGTACTGTGGAGCTTGCGATTCGCCGAGCACCCAACGTCCGGTATTCGCCGAACATCAGCTGTTCGGGATGCGGCATTCGGCGAATCCTGAGTAGTGTTGACGGGTTGCTCGCTATTCACCGTCCGCCGAACGTTCGGTATTCACCCTACCTACCGCAGGTCGGTCTTTAGGACACGTCAAAGGGAGCGAACATTCGCCGAACACATAAGCTGTTCGGGATTGGGCGAGTAGTAGCTTACAGCTCGGCGAATGCCGAATGTGTGGAGCCGCCTTCACGCTATCCTGCATCAAAATTAGCCTTACCCCTCTCCTCTACTACTTGCTTCACCAACAGTTCAGTATTCGCCAACTTTCTCCGATTCTGGGGGTTGACAGTTCACCTAAGATGAGCTCCCTAATGATCCTTGTTTACGCACACATCCTGGTGAGCTCCATCCGTCATTCCTCACCTCTACCACTTCCCACACTGTCAGTTCGCCCCGTCGCCGCCGCCTCGCGCTTCCTCCCATTTCCGAGGACACCCGGATCATATGCAAGCTCCTCGGCGATGCTAGCTCACCCTCGCCCACATGTAATTGGGCTTCGCCCCTGATCAACGTCACCTGTCGCATCTACAAATCAGCGCCCGGTTCATTAATTGCACCCTCACCACCAGACAGAACTTGCTTTTATTCTGGAAGGCTCATGAATCTACACCAGCTAGGAGGTTGCGCAACGATCCATGTTCACCCCTGCCACTTCCCATATACTTCTCATCAACGCTTCAAGTTCGCAATGCAGTATATCGACCAAAAGCAAAAGTCAGGTGGAAAAATCTCTGAAAGCTATTTCTATACAAAAGAGTATAAGAATAAAATATTTCTACGAATAACTACGAAGTCAAAAACAAATGGTTCAAACTTCAAAGGGTTCATATTAATTAGGAAATAATACAAAATTTATTTTAACAAAAGATTGTAGCTGTTTTGGAAACCATACGCCTGTCTTCAAAATTGTGTACTGAAATATGTCTCAAATAATCACATCTTAAAGGAAACAAAAATAATAACGGATAATAAAGGGTTACATAATTATTCACGAAGAAAAATGGGAGGAAATATGATTGCTGTTTTGTTGAAAGACAAACGTGTAATTCCTGCCCATTGCATTCAAATAGTTTGTAAATATAGTATAACTTACAATTAATCAAAGAATAGAACTATTTATACATTTACAGACGATAGAATACGTTTCTACATCAGTCTGGGCAGTATTAAATTCAAACAACATTAAAAGTATTCTCGGTAACATTTTGTCCGAATTTCTCAAAGCATTCTTCGTATTTACGGAACGTGTTTTGCAAGAATGACAAAACAAAACTCTGTTCTCGAAATAGAGTATTCCTTTATCTCGATGGAAGGAGGTTTTATTTCCAGAAAACTGGCACGGAAGCGTAAATCATTTCGCCCTCCTACACAGACAATGCATTTGTCTCGCGTCCGACCACTGAGGCGGCGGCTAGCGCAACACCGCATTCCGTTTAATCGCATTACGAAACACGAGAGACCGACTTGGGGCGCTTCGCAAGACCGAACCAGTGAAGCTCCTCCGAACGATATTCGTCTTCATTTTGCTGAAACAGGTGATAACTCTGGTTTTAGAAATCGTTCTCACGCTTTCAATGGTTAGAATATTGGTACATTGTTCTTATTTTTACATAAATTGATTAATTAATGAAGGATAACAAAAATTGTAAATACGATCTGTTGCCCTAAAGAGAATAAAAAATTGTTGATATAAATATTAAAATAATGCAGTCAAGAGTATACACATATTTCTTGGGAACTCAAAATTATAAGTAATTACTTCAGAAATATTTTCTTCAATTGCTACTGTTTTTATAGGGCAAGGAGATGCGATACGATGTCTAGTGCCACTTTCGTCTCCTCCTGAAACCATCTCAACCTCCCGTTTCCCATCTCCCGAATTATGATTTCCATTTTACTTCGTTTCCTCCATTAATACTTCTCTATCCTGTGCATAATTCGTTCTCTGTGGCTGTCTTCAGCACGTTTGGTTGATGTTTACTACTTTACTCCTCCTTGTAGCCATCTCAGTTCAGTTCTTCCTGAGTTCAACGATACATCTTAACGTTGTTTCCCTATTCTCTTCTAGTAAGTACATTTTGTTACTTTCCATCCTGATTAAATACCTTTCTGGATCCGATTTGGTTCAAATTCCTTTAACTTTTGTCACTCACTCTTCAAATTTTCTAAGTATCTATCCGCCATAGCGCACATTTATTTTTTTTAAACAGTTATTGAAAATAATTTCTGTACATTAAAATATGACATTTTCGAACACCACCAGGTACATCATGCCTTACTTTCATGATTTATCTAGAGTTTCTCGCCCCAGTCTGCGTGTACTGAGCGTCTGTTGCGATATAAGGAGAGTGTTGTGGTTTATACGCCGAGTGTGTGATGCGGTGTGCTGAGGTTTGGATGCTGAGCGTGAGATGCATGAACTGTGGTTTCTGTGCTGAGCTGAGTTTGCTGTGTCGCAGGGTGCTGAACGACTGGTGCGCAGTGTTAGATGTGCTGTGGTCCAGATGCAGAGCATGTGGAGTGTGTGTGTGTGCTGTGCTGAGCATGTGGAGTGTAGAGTGCACTGTGTGGCGAGTGCCGAGCGAGTGGTGTGCTAAGAGTGGTGTGGTGCGCAGGTGTGGTTCAGCAACCGTCGCGCGCGCCTGCGCAAGCAGCTGTCGTCGAGTGCAAGCAGCTACGGCTCGATGGCGCTTCCAGGCTCCTACCCGGCCACGTCGTACATGCTGCCCCAGGGGCTGCCCGACTCCTTCGCCTCCACGTCCGCCGCACAAGGTGAGTGCCTTCACGCCCATCCCATTTGGAGCACTGACTTTAACCATTAAAGGTACGCGCGTTTTTGAAAGCTACATCCTTTTCAGATTTACAATGAATATTCTTATTTAATTCCAAAATACATTCATTTTGTACTTTTAATTCTTATTATTTCAGATTTTTTAAAATATTAAGACTCTTCCAGTTATTAAGATAACATCAATAGCGTTTATTCCCGATATACCACGTGGTCCAACCAAATAGTCAAACCGGCGTGTATGAGAAGTCAATATTTGATCGTTATTCCTCCCATTTTGTCCAAACAAATGCAAATCAAAGTAGGTGGCGAGTTTGTTTAATCGTCAGGAAAGTCCTTTCTGAGAATATTGTCTGTGCATAAAAAAGAGGCACATCTCAAAAGTTATTTACTAATGGTTTACAAAATGATATATTTTTTCTACTAACATTTTATATAGTTCACAAGACAGCAAAATAGAGGCAAACACTATCTTTGGCGGTGAAAAAAAGTTCACATTCGCGACAAAAACATTCTGCAAGATTCTGCTACAATATTTTAGATGTGTCATTTTTTAAATTTTGGACCGGCATATGTATTTATTCCTAAATATATTTAATTATGGCACTCGTACTTCGACAGTACGTTGATAATATGAGTGGAAAATTACGAAAGAGTATCCTAGATTTACGTAATACACCAACCCAAGAGTATAAAGATGCTGATGCAGTTGAAACATTATTAATGGAATTAATATTCTTTGAACATAACATTCTTAATGGAAGTTTAGTAAACAAGCCATCGAAGTTTCTGATTATTAAATAAAAACACTGCCAGAGATGAAATCGCATGGTATTATTTACCCACAGACCAGAACATATTTTGATTTGGGGGGACTATGATAATTTAAAGTGATTCATATATCAACTAAATCTTTCTCTTCGGGAATAATATAGTCTGTAAATAAAAATTGTCAGGAACATAAATCCCACCCTTTGTTTTCAGTACCTTTAATCCGTCTCCTTGGGATCTTCAGAATGCGTCAAGATTGAAAAGACGATACCCCGACGATTCATACTTGACACACTGAAGTACACGAACGTTAACCTTTAGTCTATCAGGCTCATTTATTCAGAGACACAAGATGATATAATTCCGATAAAACTTTCCATTTCTCAAAATGGTGAAAATTGTTCAACCGATTACATTCTTCAGAAAGAGGTTAGATTGCAATTCATGTTCCATCGTAGCCTGACGCTATTCGCAAAATAGTAGTCATTAAGAGCAATGTGTAATGTAATGTAAGAACGTTGTTGAACTATCACTTTCCACTTCATAAAAGTAAGAATATTGACTAATATCGGAATCAATATAAAAAGTCATTAACGAATTACAATTTTTGTTGTGAATCGTAGCACCTTCAGCCAAATGTCAATCAAAATTGCATACATGATTGATACCCTTTATGCAAACTGATGAGGTAAAAGGCAATTAATGGGAAATACAACATGGGATGTTCTCAATAATTCTCCTCCTCAACTATAAACAGATACATTAAACACACAGTTTTAAGAATACACACACGTGAAACGTTTTGAAAAAAGTATTTCACAAATGGTACAGAATTGGTCGTTCCGTAGATAATTTCCATCCTTCTACAGACAAGTAAACCCGATTCCTTTCATAGATTGGTAATATATTTTCCATTCGTAGATATGTAATACCGGTACCTTCCATTGACATTGTCATTTTGGGGTAAATTTGTTTGAACACATCGAATTATTTCACTTGAAAATTAAAGCTACAGCAAATGGAAAAACGATCCACGAACTTTGAACAATGCACAACTGATCCGACTCAAATGCTTACAATTTAGCGAAAGTGGTTTTTTAATAAGATATATTTAAGAAATAGCTGCTGTTTATTATTTATATGCCTCGCTTGTTACTTCCAACACGTTTACAATTTACTGTGAATCTTGTAGATTTAACGAAGATTCACATGTATGGTCAAAGCAGAGATAAATGTTCTTGTCGTGAGTAGACCCTAAATAGTTGAACAGGGCTTTGGAATGTCTTACGTAGATGAAGGGTCTTGCAAACGATTTTAACAATTTATACTCAAAGTAGTAAAATAAACATTTTTTCACTCGTGCAGATCTTCGCCTTAGGTTAAACGAAAAAGAAATGAGATTTTTGTGCCACATTAAAATATTATTCACGCTTCAAAGATAACCAAAAATAAATTTATTCTTGGCAAAATGTTACTTTCCTACCACATTCTCGGCAACCCCTTCTTCGTGTTATTCTCTGACATTTCTAGGCGAGTTAAGGTTACTTATGTAGACATAGCTGGTTTCTTGATAACCCGAAACGATCAATTTATCTGAGACGCCGAGGCTAACAGCTAATTTTGAGTAAAATATGTAGTGGCAATGCGGTGAAGTAGTACCTTCTTCTGATGTTTGTACAATTCTTAGGGTTTCATTTCCGTGCGCATTCTTCCTACGGTCTTCGCGGCCGCACGATCGCGCAACCACGACCCACCTCCACGCTGCTCCTCGCTGCGCCCGGCGGTGGCACGGCGCGGCGCGGCAAGGCGGGCTGAGCCGAAAATAGAACAAAGCCCGACCTCCCGTCCCGCCCCCGCTGGATCCGTCACAGTCACCCTCGCCGCACTGCCCTAGCCACCACCACCGCCATCGCCGCTCCCGCCGGCATCGCGACTGCACCTGCCACCACCAC